GACGGCCAAATTACCAAATTGATAAAAAGAGGACGGTCTATATGTAAAATGACACTTATCATTGTTTTTTGTATGTAATAATTTATACTCCGTATTATTTTAGGTAAAAGCTATACACACTAATTATAAGAGTTCATTTAATATTTAAATAATACGGAGTATTATTTTGTTGTAGGTAAAATAATCTATTTGGTTTCATATACGTAATTTCCTTTTCTTAATATATATAAGGATATTATATAAAGATACGTAATTTCCTTTCAAAATAAATAAATAATTTTAATGGCATAGAATGTACTATTAGATACGTTTTGAAAGACTAAAAAAAGTCACTTTTTTCTTTTATATTTATTTTAGTAAAATCTATGAGTAAAGGGTCAGTTTGGTCCTCGAAGTTGCATAAAAAGGGTCAAATAAGTCCTTATATAGAAGATTCTGTCCGAACGTGATACTTGAGGCGGTTCCCGGTGGAATTTTTTGATAAAATTTTGTGAGCATCTTATTCATTAAGTCTAGTTGACTCATACCAAATTTCAGCTAAAAACTCAACCGGGAAGGCATTCAAATGAATTCTTGAAGATAACTGCGCTTTTAACTGCACAATTATCTTCAAGAATTCATTTGAATGTCTTCCCAATTGAATTTTTATCTGAAATTTAGTATGCGTGAACTAGACTTAATGAATAAGACGCTCAAAAAAATTCATCAAAAAATTCCACCGGGAACCTCCCCAAATGGGGACCACGGATAGAAACTCCTATATAAGGACTTATTTGACCCCTTTTATGCAACTTCGAGTACCAAATTGACTCTTTACTCTAAAACCTATACATCATGTTATAGTTATGGCCGGAGTGCCGGACCGGACGTTAACAGTGTATGCTTTCATTTGTAAGGACTAAATTGCAATTTATCATATCTAATCTAATTAAACATTAATGATAGTAAACTCTTTTCCACTCACGTGGAGGATGCACCGATACATACTCTATTGAGAAGGCACCATGAAATTTTCCAAAAAATAATGGAATGAAGCTCTGCATCGTCTTGAATGAAGTCTTTTTGAATGAAGCATGCTTCGTTTTGTAAAGGGGAGCACCATCCTCATGCGCCAGTTGCACGGTATAAATTGCCTCAAAATAGGTATTTCACCGGCCCAACCTCTCAAAACTGCGAGCAATTCACCGGCAGCCATGGAGGCTGAGACTCCCTGTTTATCGCCGTCATCTGTACTTTCCTCCTTCCGTATTGTTATCGTGGGGGACATCCACGAGGATTGGGAATCAGCACATGACTTCCAGGCACTTCAGCAGTTACAGCCGAATCTAGTGCTCTTCACCGGCGACTTCGGCAATGAGAATGTCGAGCTTGTTAGGGCTATCGCGGCGGGGATTAACATTCCCAAAGCAGCAATACTTGGAAACCACGATTCCTGGTCGACTTCCAAGTTCACTAAGAAGACAAAGGACGGAGTTCAGCTTCAGCTGGAATGCTTCGGTGAACAGCACGTCGGATACGCTCACCTGGACTTCCCTGCATTCCAGCTTAGGGTTGTAGGCGGGAGACCTTTTTCCTGTGGAGGCGATCAGTTGTTCAGGAAGAAGCTTATAACTGCAAGGTATAATATTTATTTAGTTATTGATTTCACGTTGCAATTTTGGATGATTTAGAGCCCGTTTGGTAATACCCAAATAAGTTGTATTATAATGTTCTAGTTGAAGTGGCTAGATCGGTTGATTCGTGAAAAAATTATACGATAGTATTTAAAATATATTTAATTATTAAAATAAACAAAAAAAATATGAAAAAACACCTAAAATGATCCTATACAGTAATTTCAGCCCCGGAAAAGTAAATCCAGCTATACTTTTTCTTAATATTACACAATTCAGCATTTGAAGTTACATGGTGAAAAACTTGGTTAATGAGTCTGATACTCTAATAAGCCGAAAATCAGCGTGATCAAACGGGCTCTTCATTCTTCTGTTTCACACAGTGCAGTTGTTGTGCAATAGCAGGTCTGTTTGGCCGTTCTAAGCAATATCACACTCACTGTTTTCATTCTCATCTTATAATAACATTAATGTTTTTTGCATTTTTGCCTTACAACATCTGTTTCGCCTTCTTATGCTACCTATTACTTGATGGTCTGTTCAGATATGGAGTCCATAATATGGAAGAAAGTGCACAGAAAATACACAAGGCTGCTATAGGAACTCCAAACGAGCACTCTATTATATTTCTTGCTCATAACGGACCATCAGGTACTAATTGCATCAAGTTCACTAAAGAAAATGCTCTTTATGTATGTGTATATCCATATTTTTTTCTTGGATCAAATTGCTGGAATCTGTGCTCTCATCCATAATTTCTCATTCATTTTCAAATAACCTGAAATTTTCAATTTCTAAAGTGGTTGGCATCTTGGTAAATGAGGATGTCTACACCCTCCAATAGTCTAATGTGGTCTAACCCAAAGAAGGGAAGATTGGGGTTTAACCCAAAAACTATGAAATGGTCTCACACTCTCACCCCAAACAATAGATCATTTTCTAGCGTCAAATCAACTCAAAGATGAAAATAAGTAAACCCCGCCTACTCTAACCGTGAGTCCGTGACAGGTGACCAGTTTCACTTTTAGCGAATCACCCGTTGCAGCATAAGTTGGAACTAGTTAATAAAAAAAACTAGATAGAATAGGGTACTTGTTAGGGTGTCAGGTTCTGGCTAAGATTAGTTGAAAATTAACTTTTGGCGAGGTCCGTTTTATATCCCAAAACTGCTCCCCAACAATTGGACAAGTCGGGAATGTTGGGTGAGGGGATGGATGATAAATCTTTTTTTAATCTTCTACATTTAAATGGCTGGAAATAGAGTGAACATAAAAAGGCTATATTTCAAAATAACTCATCACAATAGTTATTTGTAGTTGAAACTAACAAATACGGAGTAGAGATTAGATTTCATTTTCATTTTCATATTTACCCCAGTGCCGCAAAGGCTCCCACCTACGGTGGGGTAAGGGGGGGTCGGATGTACGCAGTCTTACCCCTGTACTACAGCACAAAGAGACTGTTTCCGGATGACCCATAGTGAAAATCGCGTCCAAAATTGCATGGACTGACTGCTGCTTCATAACAAAGAAGCGCAGACAGTTTAGTGAGCCATTTTGCTTTATTCCATCATATTCTCAAGCCAAAAAATAATGAATCTTTAGATAGTGAAATAAAAATCAATAGTCTCTTCCCTTTCCTCCGGAATCCCCAAACCAATCAAACCCTAACTCCTTAGTGAATTTAGTGTACTTCTCGAGAAGAATTAAGAGATCGATAGAATAAAAATGCTGGTGGCTTTCTCAAATGTGATTTACTGGTTTGAACTTTTAATTAGCTTTGTTCTCTTCCTAGCTCCTGTAAAGATGTTCTCATGTACCTGCAAATTCACTTCTATCTGATAGCAATGACATTGATGTACTTTATGTGCGCGTTATCCTGTTGTTAGGCATAATGTAACTGTGTTATGTTTCGAATTAGAAGCATATGATCTTTTTCTCATCACATGTGTTTCTGTGGTCTAAATGGCCCCTTTGTTATTTCCTTCTAATATCTCTTGATATCATCTTTTCTAATTTCCATGCACAAGTTTTACTTGACAGGATAGTGAGCATAGATAGCTGAAGTGTGTTCCTGATAGCCCAAATAATGGATTCTATAAGTTCTTGCCAATAACCACGTCCACTGAATAAAAACATTAAACTAAAAAGCCCATACAAAATGAGCAGCCAAGAGAAAAAGGACATAACGCCCATGCCCCCTTTCGTCATAAGGAATGGTTTCTCACAACCCTATCAGTTCAAACACCCTTAGAATCTTTGTGATGATTCATTCATTAGTTTCTGACTTTCTGTAGATGATTGCAAGAGTACCGAGTGCTGAGTATTCTTATAAATATTGTTTTTTATACAATGTGTATGTTTGTTTGCCTGACACATGGAGTCTATTTTTCAGGTCTAGGTTCTAATATCGATGACATTTGCGGCAGAGACTGGGAGTGTGAGGGAGGTGACCACGGGGATCCAGGTACTTTTGACCAGTGCCCCTCTTTTCGACTCTTTACAACTTATTGTCAGATTAACAGGTCCTTAATCTTATGGCATGAGCTTCAATTTTGCTCATTTCATGATGCAGATTTAGCTCAAGCGATATCTCTGGTAAAAGAAACCACCAATCATCACGTACCGTTGGTTGTTTTCGGGCACATGCATAGCGAACTGGCAAAAGGAGGGTTCCGGAAGATGATACACATTGATGCTGACAATACCATGTATCTGAATGCTGCCATTGTTCCAAGGGTGAAACATCCTGACAATGGAGGTTCAATCCGGGCCTTCACTGTGGTGGAATTTGAAGATCGTAAAATAACCAAAGTGGCTGAAACTTGGGTGTCTGTCATTGAAGAAAAGACATCTCTGCACGAAGAGCGTCTAATGTTTAGCAGCAATAGTGCAGTCATCTAGATGACAACTTATTTGGCATTAGCGGGAGAACATATTTCTAGATAGGTTGAGGTTTTAACTTTTACATAACCCCTGTGTGGGGTCCAAATGTGGTGTTAGGTACTGTGGACTGCAACAAGTGTAGGCGTGTAGCTCATGGAATGATATCATTAGGCTATTTAATGTTACCTACCTCAATTTTTTCTTGTGTCCATTTGTTTATGATGATCTTCAAATTAGTTTTATTTGACCATTACTTAGGAAAGTTACTGGATTGCATGGGATTATTTTGCCTGATTTATTGTAGGCCGTGTGATTATGTATGGGGGCTTCCGGTTTACATTACAGAAATAAGAATTTTTCTTTCAGGGTATGTGTAGGAGTTAGGTTTAATTTTTTTTTTTGGGCACCGTAGAAAATACCTACTAGTAATATTTATATTCTATTTCGAGTGTACCTACTGCAATGCAAATACATCAAAGTTACTCTCAGATTTTAAGAGTCAACCCTTTGGATATATTTATATATCATAGTATCATACACAAGACATGAATAGAACTATAATCTAGGGGCTGGATAAGTTCTGTTATACTACATATATAATTACAGATAGATTGTCCTCCCAACAAGGGATGCATGTATCTGACTGGCAACCTACAGGAAGTAGGACAGTTGCTGCTTCTTTTGGGAGCCGCCTTCGCCATATAAGTCATTCCATTGCTGAAGCTCACCCATTATGGATCATTAAGCAGCAAAACTAGCCGCAACCTGATTCTTTGCTTGCTTCATATCTTCCATGTTTAGAGGTCTCAAAGTGATAACTCTCTCGGCCATGGTTTCCTTCTTATCTGGAGCAGCAGCATCTGAGCTCTGCCCTTCTTCACCTTTGCGCCTCTTTTCCATGTTCTTCTGAATCTCCTGTTGTATTAGCTCTCTCACAGGATGATAAGCTGCTGTTGTACACAAGTTCTTAAGATCACTTCCACTATATCCATCAGTCATCGCAGCAAGCTCCATGAAATCAAGGTTTTCTACATTTTCCTTCGCTAGAAGAGTTCTCAAGATCTTTTCTCTGCTCTCTGCTGAAGGCAACCCAACCATAATTCTGTGCTCAAAGCGCCTGATAATTGCTTCATCTAGGTCAAACGGCCTATTGGTTGCTGCTAGAACCAGAAGTCGCTCACCAGATTTTGTCAACAATCCATCCCAATGTGTCATGAACTCGTTCTTGATTTTCCGCATGGCTTCATGTTCTCCAGCCCTTGTTAGTTGCCCAAGCATGCTATCAACTTCATCCACAAAAATGATAGTAGGAGACACCTTAGCAGCAAGTGTGAATAAAGCTCTAACATTCTTTTCATCTTCACCAAACCATTTAGAACTAATTGTTGACATCGAGATATTTATGAAGCTTGCTCCGGCTTCATTTGCAATTGCCTTAGCCATCATAGTTTTCCCGGTACCAGAAGGACCAAAGAGCAATATGCCTCTGAAGGGCTTAAGAAGACCACCATTAAAGAGGTCAGGTCTTCGAAGCGGAAGCATGACCAACATCTTCAAATGTCACTCCAATCTCATGCGCAAGGATGACTTCTGGTCTTATGCGTTTCTCAAACTCATTGTCTGGAGGAAGAGGGTTTATGGCCCTCCCTTCAAATGCTCAATCTTGAAGGACAACAAATTACATGATAACTTCATCTCAATTTAAAATGAATGTGAGTTTAAACTATTTAATTTTGTCATATCTTGGAAGGGATTTTAGTTATAATTCCTTCAGAAACTCCCTATTTCCAACATCTAATCGCTACAAAACATAAATGCTTAAGATATATAGTGATTAAATTATATTTCAACAAATGATTAGCATAATGATTTCAATAGCATGACTTTAAGGGTATGCATGAGAGTTAGGTTTTGAAAGGGAGGGAAAGGTTGAATTATGCTTATCATTTGTGAAGGAGTGTTTAAATTATTTAAGAGGAAGGGAAAAAAGCGTACCAAAGAAACTAATAAGTGTGTTGTAGCAGCAACATAAATGCCGAGCAAAGTGAAGATCCAAATTTCTTCGTTCTTTGGCTAGTCTGCCAAAGAAGTGTTTCAATGTACTTCTAGTTTTTGTTACCTTGTTCAGTTTTTAGTCGTATTTCCAAATTCCGATTGTGGTTGATTTGGAATGCTTTGCAGTTCTGCTGTCCTTTTTCTTATTATTTAAAATTACTCGCCAAATTCTCTTAAATAGTGGCTATTTTTCACCCTTGATTTAACTGTGAACATATTCTATTATCTCTACGTAGACATGTAGAATGAATTGATTTGTTGTTCACAGAGTGATTATTTAATTAATTGAATGTAGAAACTTATTCAATTTGATTTGTTGTCTTAAAGAAAAATTGTCAAATAGGTCCTCGAACTTTCATAAAAAGGTCAAATAAGTCCTTATATAGGAGGCTCTGTCCGGCCGTCGCGATTTGGGGCGGTTCCCAAATTTCTTCAGAGTGATGAAAATTTTTTAGCATCTTATTCATCAAGTCTAGTTTACTCATACCAAATTTCAGCTAAAACTTCAATCGGAAACGCATTCAAATTAATTCTTGAAGATAATTGTGCAGTTAAATGATTATTTTTAAAATCCCCTACACTTTTACTATATATACTTTCACCGTTTAATCAATCGTAGTGGTTTTAAATGTATCAGTTTGCTTCACTATAAATATTTGATAAATGATACTCCCTCCGTCCTCTTTTAAATGTCCCGTTTTACCATATTGGGATGTCCCTATTTAATTGCCCCATACCTTATTTGGTAAACTTTGTGTGGCTCAAAATCATTCTTACTTTATTCTTACTTTATCAATTAATATCAACCACACAAACTCACTCTTCTTAAAACTCGTGCCACCATCTCCCGTCCCATTTAAAAGGGGACGGAGGGAGTACGGAGCAACATTTTATATCATCAATTTTCAGCGAGCACTTGTGTGTTTACATAATAAGTACTCCCTCCGTATCATATTAGATGCAACATTGAAATTTAGACACTATTCATGTACTCTACTTTGAATACGTTTTATTTATTAAAGTTTGTGAATTATTATTTTTGAAAAATATTGTTAAATTCATCTCATTACAAAGTTTCATAATTTGATTTTTAATTTTTTTTACTAATAGAGAATTAAATATAATGATGGTCAAAGTTGTGCGTTGACAAGCGTGAAAAAGAAAATGTTGCAACTAAAAAGAACGGAGGATAGAATTTAGTTTAAAATTTGGACTCCACATGCCACATTTTGAGTTAGTAAATGAGTTTTTTCATTGTTAGTGTTTGCGTAATTGCGTTTTTGTTTTTGATTTCCTTTTTAGTATTTGGATCACTCTAACATACACTTATGGTTAGTCATGGACTCGGGTCGGGCCGCCCGGTCCGGAACCGGTACTGTTTGGGCCCGGCCTGGTACCCAGTTATAGGACCGGTCCGGGCCATCCGAGCCTGGAATTAATTGGGCCGGGCTCGGTCCTCCTAAAAGTGGAACATGCCCAGTTTGGGCCCAGAACCGGCCCGGCCTATTTTTTTTTTTTTTTTTTGGTTTTTTCAATTTTTTTCGTTTCTGCCAGGTTGGTCGGGGTGTTTTGGAGGGGTTTGGGGGGGTGGGGGTGAGGGGGTCGGGGGTTAACTAGAAAAGCAAAAGAATTTTTTTTAAAAAAATAACATGAACCAGCCCAGCCTGGAACCGATGCCTACCAGGGCCGGTTCTGGTTCTTCCTTCCCAAAAAAGCCCGACCAGGCCGGGCCCAGCCCGAGTCCATGACTACTTATGGTCATCGTGTACATGTTTTTTAACATTTACACCTTTGGTAAGAATCACGGTCATCGTGTACATGTTTTTTAACATTTACACCTTTGGTAAGAATCACAATTGAAGAGTAAGTGGAACTTTAAAAGTCGATTTCAAATATTCCACAGAAACTGGATTACAAAAATAGTCAAACAAAATTTTGGCTTTTTGTGCCAAGTGACATGATACTAACTTTTAATGAATGTAGTATTTTAAGTGGAATCTCAATTTATATTTTGCTTGGAAGTTAACAAAATTTTGGCTTTTTTGTACCAAGTGACATGATACTAAATATGATAACGTTCAATTTTACGCAAGAACGACTGAATAAATATTTTTAATATTTACATTCGATTTTTAATGACTAAGAATTAATTTCAGCAAGTATTTTAAGAGGAATCTCAATTTATATTTTGTTTGGAAGTTAAGAACCTGAAAGTAAATCATGTTTTGCAACACCTAGCAATTGCAGACATTATCCACGAGAACTCAATTAAGCTTGCAGTCTACATAGAGCTTTGCAAATCTGGTAAATACATTTCAGTATGTCATAACAAAAATTACAACAAAAATCATGTTTTTATCCTACGTGACACCAAAGTAAGACAGATGAAACATGCCACAACTTGCAGCAACTATATCAATATCTTGACCTCCTCCTAACCCTGTAATGTGTTTCCAATCTATCAGGTCAAGCAGCTAGCACAAGAGATGGTAAAATGGAGAATATAAATGCAGGAAATCTTACCGAGGTGAACGAGATCGGGAATAGGAGTGTGAACGACCAGGAGACCTTGACCTTGAGTTTGACCTTGAGCGGGACTTTTGTGAACTCCGACCTCTGCTGCGGCTGCGGCTACGGCTGCGGCGGTATCTTCTGCACAAGTGAAAGTGGTGCAATCCTTAAAAGATACTACGTATTTCCTTTATCCATCCCAAAAAGAGTCATATTTCATTTTACCCCAAAAGGAGTTCACTTTGATCAAATAAAGCTAAATTTTCATGATTTCAAAGAAAGCATTCAACAAGCTACATACAACACTATATGACAGCTGTACTTTGTCAAAGTAAAATGAAAACTGCAAGTTGGTCAAAATGACTACATTGAGACGGAGTCAGCAAAGTAGCAACACTACAAGCAGCTATATAGCCAGCTAAATGATCCTCAAAAGATCAACACTAATTGGACAATTAGGGTGAGAAAATCATGATAAAACATGGAAACGAGTCTTTTATGTATAAAACTAAAAGTTCAAGAAATAAAAGCAACAAGAAAGTCGCTAAAAGAATACTTGGGATAGTCTAAATGTAAAATGAACCTTCTTTTTTAAGGAAGTCCCCGAACGCAACCTTCAACGTTAAGCTGTTATAACTTATTTTCATTTACTACCTTGGAGGGGACCGACTGTAACTTCTACTGCGGCTTCGATGACGATGTCGACTTAATCTATTTGTTTCTGCAAGTTTTTCAAGCCTCAGTCTTTCTTGTTCTCGCTTCTTTGCCGTTTCAATAGCTGTATCTTTCTTGACTGCAAAATATGCATACATTGTTTTCATAGTGTAGTATACAGAAGTACAGAACTATATTCAATTACATGACATAATCTACGTAAAGGTGAAGATGGTTGAGATCCTTAATTTTGCAAATCTGATTTTAAAAAGTGAAGAAAATATTACAACATCCGTCCCATTTTATGTGGTTTGGCACAATTATTAATAAAGTGATTGAAAAAGTAAAAGTTGTGGTTGAGGTTTGAATATAATAGAGTGAAAAGATGTGGACCACATATTTCTTTCCGAAAAAGGAATCAAGACACTTATTTTGGGACAACCCAGAAAGGAAAGTAAGACACATAAAATGGGACGGAGGGAGTAGTATTTAATTAAATTATGTACATTTCCTGAGATGAAGATTAAAAAAATCGTTATACTTTGTTTGTTCAGCTGTTTGCTCATGATTCGCTTGAGCCGTTCCTGAGGAGTTTCCTTCTTTTCTCCCTGTTGTTTAGAGAGGATTGAGCTAGTTGGGGTCTTGCTTAATTTTGCTACTGCAGATGTTGAGCTGTTAATAGAAACAAAAAATGAAGAAAGAACAAGCAAATTGTGTTAGGACCTGATATTGAAAGAATAATAATGCATACTTTCTCCAGGACAGAATAATGGTTGTTTAGGAAGAAATCAAGCATATAAAAAAGATTTAGTAGTGAAGAAATCAAAGCACATAAAGGAGATTTAAAAGTGGAGAAATCAAGCATACAAAGGAGATTTGGGAGTTAAGAAATGGAGAAAGACTATACAATATTACCTTAAGATTTATTTTAGCATATAGGCGACTTAAAGAAGGGGAAAATGACGAAAAAATGTCATCAAATATTAGTTAACTTTTTACAAACAACACATTGTGAAGGAAAAAAGAATCATCTCACTATACTTAGTGAGAACTGCATGAAGTGGGAAAACAAAACCTTATTGGTGTTTTGTGTAATTTGACATTCTTTTCCTTATCAACTGAAACCCCTGATGCAGGATCTACATGAAGAGCTTCAAGAATGAGACCAGATGATGGCCTGCAGAAAACACGAGCATTAGATAAATCTGATCTCAATGTGGCAAGTCAAATGCACTCATAATTTCGTCGATTTCATTCAAAACCAAGCTTCAGAACAATGGTTTCCTTCTATTATCCCTGGAAGTCATGATATCCTAACTAAACAACATTTAAAGATTGGGTCATCAGGAAACACATAGGATGATATTCTGCAGCAGAGTAAAGACTGTCCAATGAAGCTTTTGCAAGAATTAAAAGGTCAAGTGCTCCGACCGGTTTAGTGAATCATCAGCTTGAGATCGAGGACTCCGAGGTGGAGAATATCCTTCAAATTTAGGCTCTTTTTCATTATCTGAACCCCCAAACTCAGTTATGTACTCTATCTTTGGAACTCTTCCCAGCTCCACGTCATCATAATGAGTTCCACGACTATAACGCCGGGAGTGTGAGGGAGACCTTGACCGAGACTTGGACCTGGAACTATAAAAACGGGGAGAGATTCAGCGCAAACTAAACCCGATTCCCATTTGAACTGGGTAACAAGATCACACAAATTACCACCTTCTAGAGCGTGAATAAGCTTCGTATGTTGGACTTCGTCTCGACTCACTGCATAACAGACACACACAAAAATAGATTAGAAAACCTAAAAATTGGACCACACTGCCACAATATGAAGCTTTAAATAGTTTTTGAGCAGTCTGGTATTACTAGTTTTTAATTATGTTCAAATATGTTGGAAAAAGTTTATTTGGTAATTCATGATATAAACGTAGTGAATGTAGAAATGCTTGGTAGTGTGG